TTACTGAAATCTGGATGAATCCCAGATTGATTTTTCCACTAATGAACTGAATATAATTTGATTTTAACCTTCACTCTCATGTATGAATCAGAGCACTGTCTCAGCCAAAAATTTTTAAATTTAACAATTTTCAACAGAGTCTTAAAACTGTAAATTTAAAATTTTTCTAATTGAATTTTAATATCTCCTCAGGTCACTTGATTTGAAAACAGCATTCCTTTTGAAATATCATTGATTTTTATGCACACTAGTTTCTGAGTTTTTATGCTTAGCTAACCAGTCTTTCCTACAAAGAGTTTATTCTTTGTAAACATTTTGTGAAGCATTTTTCTCAATATATGTCTCACTTTTTCTAACTTTATACATTGTCAAACTAATAATTGTCTAAATTAAAAACAAAAGTGTAAAAACGTCATATAAAGGATAAAACTTAGAACACAACTGGTACCTAAGAGATAAATATGATCATACAACATGAAGCTAAAACTATTAAAGCAATGATGTGTACACTATAGACAAGAAATGGGGGAGTCAATTTTTATTTGAAATGCATAATTTATTCAAAATGCCTTCTCAAATTTGAGCTGTCTAGGTATTTCAGGATTTTAATTCACACATAATTATAATATAAACATAGACTGAAAATTACATAAAAACTACTATTAAAATACTATACTGATAGTGGAGGTTAAAATCAATTTATATTCAGTAGTTAGTGGAAATAGATCTGAGAATTGTCCAGATTTTAATAATATAACTGGCTACTTTCCAATTTAAAGAGCTGAGCAATTTTTATTACATAAATTATAATACATATAACTATATATTGTTATATAAACATAAATTTGTTAAATATATGTTCTTATGTTATATAAACACAGATTACATAAAGTCATTGGGTTTTGATAAAGCAAGTTGTACAAAAGAAAACAAAGGCAACACACAGCCTACCTCTTGTTTTATCAGTTGAATAAGCAAGAGCAATTTTATTGTTCACATATCCAACTTTCTAACAAGACACCTAGCACTCATTAATGTCAAATGTTAGGTGATATGATGATTCATATATTAGTTATTAATGAATCACATGATCATGTTTAAAGCTTTGAATTATAACCTAATGAGAATTCTGTTTCTTAATAGTTTAGTGAAAAAGTTCTTGCAATTCATAAAAATAACCAGAGCACTTATATTTTGTTTACTGTGTATCTTAGTCTGAATTCACCCACAATTTTATATTTTCCAATATTTGATCCATTTCTACTATGTAGAAGGTTAGGAAGGACATGAATTAAGCTGAATGTTAATCCTTCTCCAGCTTCAAGTATATATGAACCTAAATGCATGTATCCTTAATGCTTGTACTTAAATAGCCATAGCACAGAGTAGAAGGTGACTAATCCTTAGAAATTTGATTGCACAGAATGAAAACATAATTGGCTTTTTTGTACAACAAGCTATTAATATTTGAATCAGATACTAAGGAATAAGTGGAATTTCATTGTAGGGGGAGCACCTGGAGTGGTACCAACTTGAGAGGAAGGGAGAGCAAGAGATTATCTGGAGTACAAGCAGGGAATGTGAAGGGTTTGCAAGGAATGATGTCAGAACTGTGGGCATGATTAGAAATGTTTCACGTGATTATGCAAAAGCTGAATTATTATAGTGTCATTATATTAGGTATTTGTTTGGTATCCTGAGTTGAAAGCTTGGATTTGTAGTCTATATATTTGTGACCACTCTTTATGGAAGACGCTGATTAGGAAGAACACAATAGGGACTCTTTCTGTTTAATTTACCACTATCTAGTGTACCCACTTTTGAGTAAAATAAAGAGAATATTCTTTTGAAATTAACAAAAAATCCCTTCCTTTTTTTAAACTGATTTTATTTTTTAAGTATACAACAGCAGATGTATTACGATTCTTATTACACATATAGAGTACAATTTTTCATATCTTTGTATAAAGTATGTTCATGCCAATTCATGTCTTTATACATGTACTTGTTTTTTTGCATTACAATTCTTATTACACATATATACCACAATTTTTCATATCTGTTTGTATATAAAGTAGGTTGACACTCAATTCGTGTCTTCATACCTTTACTTTGGATAATGATGTCCATCACATTCCATCATCCTTGCTAATCCCCTGCCTCCTCCCTTTCCCTCCCTCCCCTCTTCCCTATCTAGAATTCATCTGTTCTTCCCATGTTCCCCCTCCCTACCCCACTATGAGTCAGCCTCCTTATATCAGAGAAAACATTCGGCATTTTTGTTTTTTGGGGATTGGCTAACTTCACTTAGTTATCTTCTCCAATGCCATCCATTTACCTGCAAATACCATGATTTTATTATCTTTTATTGCTGAGTAAAATTACATTGTGTATATATGCCACATTTTTTTAATCCATTCATCCACTGAAAGACATCTAGGTTGGCTCCACAGTTTAGCTGTTGTGAATTGTGCTGCTATAAACATTGATGTGGCTGTGACCCTGTAGTGTGCTGTTTTCAAGTCCTTTGGATATAGTCCAAGGAGAGGGACAGCTGGGTCAAATGGTGGTTCCATTCCCAGATTTCCAAGGAATCTCCATATTGCTTTCCATATTGTCTTCACCAATTTGCAGTCCCATCAACAACATATGAGTGTACCTTTTCCCCACATCCTCGCCTTTATGTCAGTGTCAGTTGTAGAATTATATGAATAGGAGCTGCTTGAGATATGTGAAATAAACTAGAAATATTAATTATAATGCGAATGATGGTAACTCATTTATACATATTCCTTACTGAAGCCAGGGACTTCTCTAAACCATTTACATTTATCAGCATAATTTACATGTTTTCCCCATTCTCCAAATCTGGAAAGTGAAACAGAGGAGTAACTTGCTCGAGATAGCATAAGTGGTATTTATTAAAGAAGGTATTTGAAGACACTAAGGTCATCATATTTTATAATGAGGCAAGGAATCACAAATATCTACCCAAATTCAGCACCTAGCCAGTTGTATTTTAAAATTCTAATAATTCAAGAGAGCTTTTAAAAACAAAATAAAATAAGAACAGTAAAATTAAAGCAACTTCCTGTAGAGTTTTTCACTGAAGAGAATTGGATTTAGAAAATATATTTTTTTATTTAAGTAGAATTTCTAAATGAAGAATAAAGGTCATTATTGAAAGAAGAGCAAGGACATGAGTAATAATGAATAAGATTATGCTTTCACTATTTATCGTGCATTTATACTTTGATGTGATTATTCATGTTTAATGTTTCATAGATATTTCACAAAGGTATACTGATTCTTCAGATTTATTTATTGCTGGCTTCTCAGAAACTAGCATCTATTTTAGATTCGTTACCCCAGTAAAAGTGCTTTTCTAGTACAACCTTAAATATTCCTGGGTCTTCTGGGAAAGAGAGAATTTCTTCATTGTAGAATGGCAATATGTCCTTTAAATAAGTGGAGCAGATGCCTGTCACTAAGTCAGATATAGTGTGTGTTTTACCAATCACAAGCAGAATAATGTTCTCTATGATTATAAAAGTGATCTCCACCCAAGTCAAGAATTTCCATTTTTTTCAGTATCAGGGAAATGGATCTTGCTCATTGAAGCATCTTAGTCATTTACATCTTAAGCTCAGTTAACTAGAATTTGCCCTGCTTTCCTATTTTTTGAAGAACATGTCAGCATGGGAACATTCGACCCCAGTTACCCAAGTAGGTGTATGTAGGTAGTGTGGGCTCAAGCTCATTTTCATCTTTTCTTCTTGCTGGTCTTTGCCAGAGATACTTCTAGCAGCTTCTAGTTTCAAACACTCTTTTCCCTTTTCAAAAGTTAAGGATACTTCTGATTAAATAGCCCAGTCAGCCTTATTTGTATTCACCTAGTTAGAGTCAGAAAGTCTTTCAGAATCATTCCAGGAAATTGTGGGAAGCTCTGTTTTGCTTATCTGTCAAGATTCTTTGCTCTAGCTTGTCATTTTGATGCCATATTTGATTACTGGATGTTTGGAGAGACCCCCCTATCATTGAGAATTGTATCATTCTTCTTGATAATACCTACTTCAGCATCCCCATATTCCTCACCAATTCCTGTTTTATAATGAAATATGCTTCCTTTTTATTCATATTTTCTTCATTGAACACACCTCTTTGTGGCTATTTTCACAATATTCATTATACCATGTTTTTTAACCCAATTCTTCTATTTCATTCATCTGTTACTTCAAAACATACATCTTTTTATAAATATTTTTCCCTTAAAGAATACAGTAAGATTATTACCAATATCATTTAAAATGTAAAACTTTGAAAAAGGTTATATGTTATTCACTATAGTTCATTGTATTTGTGCCTTTTGTGCTTTTTTTGCAGTGCTAATTGGTTGTGCATGATGTTTTATTAACAGTGCATTCATCTCTAATTTGTGTGTTACATATTCTATTTGGCTGTTAAAAATATTTGTGTTTTTAGAATGTAAATAACTTGGTCAATGATCTGTTGTAGACATGTCTAAAGTAACTGAAAATGATTGTAATTTGTTATGGCTGTATATTCATCCAAACACACTCATGGAACAAGATTTAGGCAAAATGATGTCATTTTTACAGATTTCTTTTCCCATGACCAGAACTCTGTATAGATAAGGAAAATATTTTAAAATCTACATTAATTTTCTTTTAGACCACCAAATACTATGCAAGATATAAGAAGTGGCCCATTTTGATTCACAGTCCCAGATGCTTAAGAATATAATAATAACACCTTTTTAGCTAGAGAGAGAAGCTAAAATATTATTTGGCCATATTTGAGGCCAAGTAATGTAATTTCAAAAAAGTGAAGTCGAATTTAAATAATGATTGCATGTTAGTTATGATGTAATACATTATGCGTTACTGATTTATTATAATTTTCTGATTTTAATCTAGAATTCTTTCAGAATGAGCTGTCCTCTCCAACTCACAATGCATTTAAAACAATCTTTGTTGCAGGTTACTTAGTTATAGAAAATCTATCAAGTAAGTTCACAAAATACTTTTTTGTTCTTTTGAATATCAACTCCCCAATCTTAATGTGTGGTTCCCTCTTTGTATGTTTGTTGGAAAAACCTCTAAGCTGGATATAAATCATAAAAGCATGACTAATTGCATGGTAACTGGAGAAATGCTCTCTCTCTCTCTGGGGTGAAGTCTGCATGTCTGTATTTTAGCTTGGGAAGTAATACGGGGATATTTAAACTCCTTGGGATTTAAAAACCATGTCATTATGAGAATGAGGTCACTGCAATATTTTATACCTTCTAAAACCTTGTAATGTATAAAATGTTTTCTGTATGACAAAGAGGTATTATGTGCTTTAGAATTCAATGATAACTTTATGCCCTTACATTTACTGGAAAAACCTTATTCATGAAAATGTTAAATCCTTCACTTAAAGTCACTGAAAAAAATTGGAAGAGTTTTGTACTGTGAATACAAAGAAAATGAACTCAAAGAGAGCAAGTTAACTTCATGTCAGAGTGACTTTAGAGGTCTGTTTTGCATTTGGTTTTTGAAATGTTCCTGTTCTTTTCATGTTAACGGTATAGCCAGTGACCAGGCTTAAATGAAAGAATACATTCTAACAAGACTCCATTTTATACTTTTCTTTACATGGAGGCCAATAAGCAAGAAATCCTTTCTGCAACATGTTGAAGAGCTTTGCACAAACAACAACCTAAAGTTTCAAGAAGAATTTTCGGTATGTTACCAGCAGTTGTCACAACATTGCAAGACCTCCTGTCGTTTCGTGTGTCACATTTCATGTCCATTTTAAGCATGCAAGGCCATGAAGGACTCTGGCCTTGATAATCAATACCCAATTACCAGGTTGATTGTTTGGATAGTAATGTTACACTGGGTGGCCTCTGGTGCAACCTGATCAGAATTATTCACCTACTGTGTCAGGAAAAGGTGCTCATCTTCAGACCTCCCCTTCAATGGCAGCCTGGCCCCTTTTCTTCTCTGTTCTTTCATCTAGGTGTAGATGCAAATCCAGAGTAATGTGTTCAATAGTTTTTGTTTGCATATGAGCTTTAGGTCATATGATAAACTTAGTTTTACATTTAAATAATTGGTTTAGATATAGACACTAAATTATTCCATTTTTATTTGCAAGCTTAGTGTACATTAGCAGTTCGGAAGAATATGAGAACAGAACTGGATGCTTCCAGAAACTACAAAAATAGTATTGTTTCTAGAACTATCCCATAATTTTAAAAAATAAAATAAGTAATGGCCTGTTTTACAAGGCCTATTTTTAAGAAACTGTGGAATAAATGATATATCATTATGGAGACATATAAAACTAAGAACTTATTACTTTAAAACTTTTTAAAAAGTTGGGAATCATTATATTGTTTTTAACATTTCATATCTATAAAATTGAGATTATTTAAGGATGCAGATTGATATCAAATCTGTAAGCTGTTTTGAGACTTGTGTCTATCCTATCTTAGATAATTATTTTATATTATAAAAATAAAATAGATTTCTGTCACCAAAATCTCTATTTCTTTTTGTTTTTTCATGAGTGCTTTAGTGTGTGAACTTATGAACAAAGATTCAAATAATTGGCTTAAATCATTTAGGATTAAAATATTTCAGTCTCTCAGGGAATAATAACAAAAGTGTGAGAAGATTAATGGTATTTCCTGCAGCTTTTTGTTATGCTTCTTAAGTAATATTGGTTTGGACTTAACAAAATCAATGGAACCATCAAATTTTTCTTAGCATTTATACAATGAGAACTTTCACTTTCTCAGGAACAAAAGTACAATTTTGCTAGAATAGAGCGAACATAATTACATTATGTATGACTAAGTAGATCAAAAGTTTTATTAGCAATAACATATTCACATATTGTGAAAGTTTCCAGTTTAACTTTTTTTTTTTTTTTTTTTGGAGACCATGGTTTAAAAAAAAAAAAAAGTTTAAATTTAAACTGTTTTTATCCTAATTTTTTTTTAAAACAAAATTATTATACAGTAATAAACAAATACATATTTGATACAGATTTTAACTCAGGTCTTATTCACTTATACCTTAAATATTTAGAAGCTTCTATTATTATGACAGATATTTTATTTGACATGTTGATATATATCAACCCAGCACTTACTATTCAAGTGACCTTGGACAAATTAAACTGGGTGCCTCAACTCTGTGCCTTTGTAAAATATCTACCTCTCTTAATTTTGGCCACTAAAATGCTTGAATATGTGCAATATTATGAACAGTGGCTGGTACAAGTTTTAGCTATTATGATAATTCCTACCACAAGGAAGCTAATATTATGGCAAGAACTGTAAACATATATTTAAAAAATTGCAAACACATTGTGTCATGATGAAGGTCTGCATAAAGAAATGAAGATCAACTGGGCACAGTAGCCTGTACCTATAATTCCAGCAGCTTGGGAGTCTGAGGCAGGAGGATTGGGAGTTCAGAGCCAGCCTCAGCAACTTAGCGAGGCCCTAAGCAATTCAGTGACACCCTGTCTCTAAATTAAATGCAAAAAGGGCTTGGGATGTGGCTCAGTGGTTAAGTGTCCTGAGTTCAACCCCCGGTACAAACAAAAAAAGAAAAGAAATGAAGATCACCTCTGAATATTAGAGACTTCATTAAAAAGGGGGGCTTTAAGATGAACTGTAGAATGAGCAGAAGAACAATGGGAAGGCAGAGAGGAAACTACTCCAGAGAGAGGGAGTGGGGGGAAAGAAAGCTCAGCAGAGCAGTGGACTCATTATGATCTCAGGAAACAGATGACACAAGCAGTGGGGGAAAGAGCTGCAGGGGAAGATCACTGAGGCCTGGTGTGCCCTGATAGGAACAGGACCACTACCAAACAGCCTGGTAATTGGGTATTGGTGATTAAGGTCAGAGTCACTTTATAAGTGGAAACTTCTAATGTGAAGTAATTGCAAAATGTAAATACCACTTTTCAGTCAATTTCTAACACACCTTTCTTTCCTCCTCTTTATATGCTCCCAAAGCCTTTAAACAAGGAAGTTCTTCCAGTTCTCCTCATTTCATTAAAAAAAAAATTAGCAGGCTAGGGGTACAGCTAGTGGTACAGTGCTTTCCTAGAATGCTTGAGGCCCTGGGTTCAATGCCTGAAAGAAAAAAAAAAAAAATTGAAACCTGTGGTGCCAGCACATCAGAATCCAGCTGCTTCCACTCTCTTTTCTGACACAGGACCACATGCAAACAACTGTCTAGTTCAACTTTTTAAGGAAAAATGAGAGAGGAGAATCATTGATTTAAAAGAAATACTTTATAATAATGTTGAAAAAAATGTAAAAACTCACATTTTAACATTTATTAAGGAATTTGGCAAGCTGAGGGTTCTAAAATGGAAAATCACAAATTTCATAAATGTAAATCATCTGCTCAAGAAAATAATGCATATGTTTTGCAGCAGCTTTCTGCAAGATGCTTGTATTACAAAGAACAAGGTAGATAATATTGTGATTTTTTAACCCCAATGTCAATAATAGATTTTCTTGACCCTTTGTCTGTGTCTGATAATTCTTAATAGCACCTTTGCATTCCACTATCAATTTAACAGTGCCTACTGTGCACAGGAATTGACCTCTGGCATCTTCTCAAACTGACCAATGTTGTACCAATTAATAGGCATGAAATCACACTGCCCAAGGAGGAAAAACAAAAAATAAATCATGAACTCCCTTTGTCTTACTAAGTTGACATTAAAATATTAAGGAAAAGCCAGTGTGTACCTGATAAAACCATGAGTGACATAGGAAGGAGTCACTAGCCTGGTTGCCACATCTTAGGGCCTCCCAAAGTGCAAAGAAATTATCTCAATAGAGGGCAATATTAACTGATCAACATCATTCAGTTAATTAACATTAACTTATAAAGCTTAGGTAAACTTATTACTATTCATCTGACCTTGTTTCCACACTTAACATAGGTGTTTTCAATTAAAATATTTTAAAAAGGTTTAAAGAATCATATTTTACTGTGGCATTTCTCATGCACTTCTGAGAAATGTAATTTTTGCAATGACTTTATTTCACAGGAATTACCAAAGTTTCTTCAGGATCTCTCTTCAACTGATGCAGATCTCCCTTGGAATAGAGCAAAAAATCGCTTTCCAAATATAAAACCATGTATGTACCCTTATTGTTGCTGGTATATCTATGAAGTGTTTTAAAATGTTCACCACCTTAATTTTTTGTATTTCTTAAATGTTTTATTCATATTAAGTGAATTATAGCAATGTATCTCATTAACAGTGACTTTCAAATTATACCTTTTGCTTTGTTCACATTTACTGGAGTTAATATATATGGTTTTCAGCTTGTTCACACAATGTTCACTTTTGCAGGTGCAAGAAACTGTAGATCTAATGGTTTCTTAGCTTTGTAATTTAACCCAAGTAAGGAACATGTTTTACATCTTCCTACAGACCCAGTCTCAAATGAAAAGAGAAAGTTCACACTTTGTGCATTAGTTTCCCTCAAGAGCATAGCCCTATGGGACATAAAAAATGCCTCACAAAATACTGATCAAACATCACAGTAAATGTATGTTTACCAAAACTGCTTTTACAAAGGAGGCAGAGATGTGCTTTACCAAAATACATCTTAGTTCTTATATCAATAAGAAAAAAACAATATTATTGTTTTAAGAACTGGCAGTGGTATACAGGGGAAAATGTGAAATTCTTCTGTTACTAATAGTTATGTTTTATATTTTATTTTTTAAGATATGGTCCTACTGTCCCAATTCTGATCTAATATATTTTATATTAAAAATTAAGTGATATTCTTGATGCTCTGAAAAATTATTTCAAAACATAGTTTTAAAATATTATTTATTTTAAAGTTTATATGTGTACATATGTATATACATATATATTATATATTTTATTTTTATGAATTTTCAAAGTGTATTGGGAAAATTTCTATTCTAAAAAATTGAACTTTTCTATCTAGAAATTCATGGACTTAGAGAAGGTTATAATCACAGAACATAAAGATGTGGATATGAAGAAACAGACCAAATTCTGATATTCTAAAACTGGAGGATAACTTTTACATGAAGGAAACAGATCTAGGGAAACATGATACAGGAGGTAGTAATCTAATGCAACCTGTTAATTCCTAAGAACCAGACAAAGATGAAAATGCAAATAGCTTTCACCACCTAAAATCCTTTCTATCAAAAAACTAATCATAAATAAATAACTTAATGAGAAAGATGACAAATAATACTTTGTTATAGGAAATAAATTAGTAATACATTTCTAAACTTCAAAATCATGACCTTTCTCAACATCTTTTGTTCTCCCTTTCAGAGAGTTAACCTGGGTTGGATACATCATATGTTTAAAGGGGAATCCCATGTTTTTATATTTATCTGCACTAAATTTCTTCCAGACTATTTGTTTCATGCTTGTTCAGTGTTGTTCTATGAAAATAAATATTCTAATCTGATTGAAAGACAGTTACTGTGGTTTTACAGAGCTGGGGTCCTGCCCGGTTGAGCTAGGGCAACCACTACAAATCCTTGGGTGCTGGTACTTGTGACTTTTCACAAAGAATTCGAGTGAAACATAGCAAAAGTTTAATAGAGAATGAAAGCAGAAGGTTATTTACAGCAGAAGGACTGCATAGACCCCCTCAAAGAGAGGATTCACACGGCTGGAGTTTTTTTTTTTTTTTATTTTATTTATTTTTTTTTTTGTAGTTGTAGATGGACAGAATACCTTTATTTTATGTGGTGCTGAGGATCAAACCCAGGGCCTCACACATGCTAGGCAAGTGGTCTGCCACTGAGCTACAGCCCCAGCCCAACGGCTGGAGTTTTTAAGGAAACTATGTACTTTGTTTTTGCCTTGATTTCCCTGTCTCCCCTAAATTGGTTTATTACTCCTTGAATAGCACCCAGCAACTTCCTTGGTGAGGGCCTGAATATTCTGGTTGACAGGGTAGTTGTGACAGAGTTGTTTGCAAGAGATAATGATGGCACCTATCTGAAAACCATAATTCCCCTTGAAGGGTTATAATTAGCTGAAGCAGGGGGTCTTGGTGTACCACACCCCACTTTTTTGATAATTTTAGTTAGGGCCCAGGATTTTAGGTAATAATTCCTCAAGGGGTTATAGTTCTGTGCAGCCTGGGGAAGGTTAGGCATTCTAGACCTCATTTCCCAGTGCCTGCCTGTTTAGATAAGGTTCCCCACTGTTTCATTTTTATGACTCCTAGATTCTTCTTGGTGCATAGGCCTAATGTCAGTCCTTCATTGTCCTTCCCCTCTACCCACCTAACTAACCTACCTCATAGTGGAATAATTAGTATTTATTTCTATTTGTATTTGTTGTATATGAAGGACTTAATTTATATCAACACATGTAATAAGTAATTCAAATATCTTACCTATTTCCAAGAACTGTCTAATTTAAAACATGTAAAACTCAAGATCTTATGAAGATATTTGTAAAATGTGAGTTTTCAATCTTCTATTACTAAGATATCAGTGTGTTATTATGTAGAATCCCATTTTAACCATAAGAAAAGTCAGTTCCAGCTTCTTACTTAAAAGATGGTAAGGGAATAAAAGTGGTTAGTGGAACTAAACAACAACCTTGAAACCATAAAACGGACTAAGGAATATGAACACCCCAACTCTCCACATCTGAGGCTAAGACAAAAAATAATCAGACTCCCTGAGGTGCAATCCTCTCTATGTTCTAAACACCTTAGTGGTTATGAGCATATTGTTCAGTGGTCTCTACATGAAAAAGTTACTGTAAGGATTAATTGAAATGATATGTAAATCACTTTGCTCAGTACTGAAACCCAGGAAGCACTCAACATTAGTTCATAAGAAGGTTAACAATAGATCATTAAAAATCTGCAAACTTCCTGGGAGAAAAAGATTGTCACAGGCCCTTAGCTTCTGCAGTCCCGAGATAACCAAGCTACAAAGTCATAGCCATCTCTATAGGTGAGAGACTCCAGTTTCTCTCTTTTCTCCCTCTCTCCCTCCCTCTCTCATTCTCTCTCTCTCTCTCTCTCTCTCTCTCTCTCTCTCTCACACACACACACACACACACACACATACACACACACACACACACACAGGCAGCATGGTGCTTACAGAGACCACCCCCCATAAAGCTGAAGACACATCCTTCCTTGCAGGGAAGGAACATATTTCAATAGAATGAATTTTAGCTTGAGGCAGCTAAGTGAAATTCTTTGTTTCCTCTGAGTAACTTAGGAAGTAGAATTTCAAATATCACAGTGCATTTTAGAAGATATTAGCTTACAGGGCTTTAAGATACCCAAATTAGCATCACACACTTGGAGAAGAGATTTCCAACTCTGTTTGACAGGACACTATGACCTTAATATTCCAACACTGAGAGGAAAAGTTTAGCTTGTTGTTGACTCAGCTAGTTATAAACAGGCATATCGAGTGAATAGAAACACGATGGCGTCCCTTCCTGAATTACAGGACTAGCTGCAGTGTCATTCAAATATTTAGATCATGCAGAATTCAATGTCATGGAAACATGAATCCTTTGCAGAAATTTGTCTAAATTCCCTATCAGTCAACTTAATCACATTGGATATGTAACGATAATTTCTGATAATATGGCTAAATTATCTTAACATATAGTGTATATACTCAAGTTCTGAGAACATGTATTGAGCACTCCCTATTAACTTTCACATAAATTTTCCTCAAGGGGATTATATGAAGTAAATAGAGTTGTGTTAGACTTGAGATAACTAAGGATCAGAGAAGCTAAGTAGTTCACTCAATGATGTATGTATGATAGGTAGATCATCTAGAATTCAGACCCAATCTCCTTTACCCATTTTTCTTCCATGAATAATAGATATTTTATGTCATGTCCACGTTTAGTTAAAATTATCATTATGATAATTTCAATTATATCACTTGATAAAAATTATCAGGAAAAAATAATTTCTGACACATGAAAAAATTAACGGGTATCTAATTTTATAAGATCTTAAAATATTCTGAAGAATGATAATTAGAAATTTTGTATTAGAGACAAATAAATTAATGGGAAGGAGTAAATGGTCTAAAATACATAGAGAAATCTAATGTACAATGAAAATAGACAAAATACATAGAGAAATCTAATGTACAATGGAAATGGTGTTTTGAATCAGGTAAAGGATAGAATGTTAAAAAATTTAGACTGTATATTGTGCCAAATAACAAAAAACAATAAAAGACATACATATGCATGTGTGTGTATCTCTATCACATTCCTTTAAAAAAAATCCCAATAGATGAAAGATTGAAATATTTAAAAGTAAACCAGAAAAAAATTATTAAGATATCAGGAGAAACTGCAGAAATTTTGTATAAATAAGAATATTTGTTATTTCAAACAACTTTATGAACAATACATAATCCATAAGCTATAATTTAAAAGGGAGAAAGTTGATTATATAATAGTATAAATTTTATCTACGGCAAGATAGAGCCAAACACAAATTATAAAGAAGAAAAATTTTTATGTTTTTATTAGTGCTTGGTAGTCATACCTAACAACAGGGTTTGTTTTGACATAACATACATGAATGGAATAGAATTTGCTCTATTTCAATCCCCAGAATTTCTGCTTTCCCTCTCCTCCTCCCTCATCTGTTCCCTTTCCTCTACTCTACTGGTCTTCCTCTAAGAAGAAAAATTTAATACTTATAACAAAAGTATTTTATGCGTATAGCTAGCATTAAATATTTTTTAAGTTAAAAGATGAGAATATATTAAAAGACAGGGAATAGAAAAGGCATTTGAAATAACCAATAAGCATAAGCAAAAAAGCTCAATTTTGATCATATTTAAGGAAATTAAATAAATACCATGAAATATCACTATGTATCTATCAAAAGAATATAAATGAAAATGTTGAATATTTTATAACAGAATTTCCTAAACACTTGTTCAAATATGAATTAATAAAAGTCTAGAAGAACTTGGCAGTATCTTTCAAAATTTGAGAGGCACATATGTGATTTGAGAATTTTACTCCTGGTAATGTTTTCTACAAACTAATCCAACATATATGAAAAAGTTCAATTATGTTTTTCAGCATTTTATAATAACAAGTGAGATCAATTTAATCCACCATAAAGAATTAAATAAATGCATGAGATTCAAACAAAGAAATACAATATGTCTTTTTAAATAATGAGCTAGGTATATTTATGCTTATATGGAAAGATTAGGTAAATGGGAAAAGTAATCTGTGGGACAGGGTGCATATCACACCATTTGTAGTTAATTTCCTGAGAGTATGTACAGAAAATTTTGAAAATATATACAAGAACATATCAATAGTCATTATCTCTGCATAGTAGAAATATGGACTAAGAGGAACATACTGTAATTTTATACTTATCTGTAAATTTATAATATTATATTATGAACTCTTTATTCTTTTCTTTCTTTCTTTTCTTTTTCTTTTGTCTTTCTTTCTTTTCTTTTCTTTTTTTTTTTTTTTTTTGTGATGGGATCTTATTAAATTGCCCAGGCTGGCTGGATGTGGTGGCACACACCTGTAACCCCACCAGCTCTGTAAACTGAAGAAGGAGTGTTGAAAGTTCAAAGCCAGCCTCGGCAATTTAGCAAGACCCTAAGCGACTTAGGGAGACCCTGTCTCAAGATAAAAAAGTATAAAGGGCTGGGAATGGAGTTCAGTAGTAGAGCACCCCTGGGTTCAATCCTCCCTACCAAAATAAAAATTGCCCAGTCTGGCCCAGAACATGTGATCTCCCTACTTCAGACTACAGAGTAGATGAGATTACAGTCGTGTGTCCCTAGCTTCATGAACTCTTACATTACTTTCATAGTAAAAAGGTAGTGGTAATTTAGAAAGTCAATTAGCATTGATTTTTTATATTTTCTTCTTAGATAATAACAACAGAGTGAAGCTGGTAGCTGATGCTAGTATTCCAGGATCGGATTACATTAATGCCAGCTATGTTTCTGTAAGTTGACATATTTATATATTTCATATTTTTATAAAACATAAATACTGAAATTATATTTCCTTTCCAACTATTTTAAAAAACAAGTTCCTTACAAATTCTGTGACCTCAATATGCTAGTTACCTATAACAACACTATACAGCCCCCATTTTAGAGATGGGAATGTGGAGGCTCAGATCAGATTCCCGTTGATCAACAATCATTTTACTATTTTATGGCAGACATACAACCTGATATTACATACTCCTGGTCTTGTCACTGTTTCATAAATCTTGTTAATGTATTATTTCTACACAATAAGGTCTGATGACTTCTTTCAGTGAAAAAATTAGTCAAATGGGCAGTTGTTTCCATACAATATAAAAACCTATTATGTACTTTTTTCCCTCTAATTTGTAGTTCTTCAAGTGGGTGATGATGCCCTATTCTTTCTCTCCTCAGCTACTTGTAGAATGAATACTCCATTGTAGCCACTCAATGAGCATATCATAAATGAATCCACTTGTAGAGAATTGTGACATACTTAGTGTACTCTCTCGCATATTGTAGATAATAAATGCATAGTACATTGGATTGAAAAATTGAATGAACCAAATTTTCTCTCCCTTTATCTATGACTCTTTTGTTCCATCAGTATTCATCACCATCATAGGTACTTACAGGCACCCAAGACCTCCACTTGTGGTTGACAAAATTAATGGAACCTTAGAGTAGGACTGGTAGTGCCCTTCCACTCATTTAATTTGCCATTTACCTCAGGAATTAAATGTCAGCCTTTCCTGTCATTGATTCATCCACTTTCTCCTAAGGCAGACGATTCTGTCTCTATGAATCTGTATTATACATATGCTTTTTAAAGCTTAAAAAATTAAATGTGTCCTCTTATATTTTTACCCGTGGGCTTCAATTCTTTTTTTTTTTTTCCTGATACATGTAAGGTTAATCATTATTATCACAGGAACCTACAGATACTTGGTGATTTCCTCTATGTCCATGCTCTCCATAGTTGTTTTTTTTTTTTTTTTTTTTTTTAATCTTCCAATTTGTGAGTCCTTTCAAACAAGCCTGCAACTTCCTTCAGTTCTGTTGAGGCCCTTCTGCTATAATGTTCTATCCTTTCACTAGTATCAAACATTCATTTTCTCGGTCTTATTTCCTGTGAGCCAGTCTGATGGTAGAGGAAAATAATTTACTCTAATTCTGTGGTTGATAATTACTCCCAAATTACAGGCATATAATGGAGCATGTTGTTGAAGTAGTGAATAAGGAGAGAATTTAAGGCTTCTTAGAAGGGTAAGTAAGGGAGAGTTTAAGGAGGGTATGGCAACTTTGAATTTCATCCTATTTCTATGCTAGAACTTTAAATCTCTATTGAAATAGCTACATGAATATACTATTATGATAACATTTACTTATTAATTTATAATTGTTTAAGTCTTTTGAATGTTTAATTCTTTAAATGTTTTGCCAAAATTTTATCCTTATTAATTTTTGTTTTAGGTTAACTCTACTGCATTTTGAAGTTTTGTTTTGATTTATAAAATTTATATATATATATTTATATATAAATTATATATATATATATATATATATATATATATATATATATATATATATTCAGATATTTACATCTAATCACTGCACTAATAATCTAATGTTTTGTGATACTATAAGGTCAGGAAAAGGCAACTGATTGTATCAATACCTATTGATTTGTACCATTTTTTAATTCATTAATAATTAGAAACAAATCAATAGCTCATACTCTCTAATATTCCACCAGATACGGCATAACTGACAGTACAGGACATGACTATGACTGAGATGGAAACCAGACAGTAGGTGCAATTGATCTATACAGATTACATAAGAAAAGTAGTATTTATGAACCCCCTGTGTTTCTTCTAAGCATTATAAGTTATCAACAAGCAGCCATGAGCAAATGATGTTGTAGTATGAACAATAAGCCAGGAAGCCTGCAGATATATATTCTGCTATAATCAGTGTTGTTATAATAAATCTTACAAAAAGTAACTATGACACATATATATATAATGATGTGCATAATCATAACTGAGCTGCATGGTAAGCAGGCCAAGATGAAGCATACTTTACCCGAAGGCAGATTTCTGTAATATGGTGGGAAGTATATCATATTGCCCTTATGATATCCTCCAAGGAACTATATCCTTTGCTAGGGATGCCAGGAGCAATGAGAATAGACATGATGACGATACTGTGGTGACCTTCACTTCTCCACCTTCAAATTCAGGCTGTCTTTACCTCAGAAAGAACATATGACACCTCGATTGCTGGTTTGTTTAGCTAATCTCCATCTGAAAGTTCATGAACTCTTGTTCTAGAAGGAAAAAGACAGAGGCCAAATACAGATGGATTCTGGGCTCCTGTTTCCTTGGAAGCTAGGGGCCAAGGGGAGAGAATGATTAAGGGAGGTAGGGAAGAAAGCAAAATAACTAGTTTATACCTAGAAAATCGAAAAACTGAAGTTGGGGAAAGGGAAAAGGGAAGACCAGCAGGTGGTCTGAGGAACTACTTCTGGCAGGGTCTACAGCTAGGCTAACACATGCCAGTTCGTGCATTCCTCTGCCCTTGGCCTTTCTTGAAAATTGTGCTTCTGGAGTCAAGACTTAGGGAAAACCTGAAAAATCATGATGAAGGATAAACTTTGAGAGAGAGGAAAGAAAAGAGTGATTACAGCCTTGTTAAGTAGCTACTAAAGGTACAGATAAGTTTAGAAATGTTTTCAAGAGAACCAAGGGTAAAAATGTGTTTTTAGGGACAAGAGGAAAGCTCTGAGTCCTTAAAAATGACCTCTCATCACTATGTTCACAGCATAAACTCATCACCACCGACAGTTGTAGCTTCTCCACATTCACAATTGCAGGCTTCATATTGTCTCACAAAATCTTTCTTAACACATCAGTAGACTCTGATAGTTCTTCAACTCTGCTCTGAACTACAGTCCATTCATTTTGTCATATTTTCTGTTTTTTCTATTTCTGTACAACCTTCACTTTCTTTTTGCTCAGTTGAAGTTTTTATGTCCCCCTGATTTGTTTCATCCATTGTACATTCTGTCTGCTCTTGAATTTTACCTGTCTTTTATCTGTCCTTTGATAAATCCATAACCTTGGTTATAAAAAAACTGTCTGTAGATTATCTTCTGTGCTCCTAGATGTGATTGGAAAAATGCCGCAGTCCGGCTGCAGCAAAATAACCGGGGGATGACGAGCAACTTGTGTAGATTGATACAGCAGGAGTGGGAGCAAAAACTCTTGACCTCATCAATATGTGTCACTTCAAACTCAGGACCACTAACTGCGGAAATATTTTTAATCATGTTACAGCCCCTGAATCCCTTCTGGCTCCCTCCTTTCTAAACTCTCACCCTCTTTCTCTCACCTTCAATACCCTTCCCACATTTTCACCTACATCTGCTATGCTTTTCATTATTTCATGAATAAAAATGGAAGCAATTAAATTTTCCCACCTCTCTGCATGTATGTCTATATATTCAATCTCTTCTCTATGGCCAGTGGATGAGCTGTCCTGTCTACCAGCAACAGCCTATCCCTTGTCTCTCAAGAATGTAGGTTGAGGAATTTTCTGTCCAATTAATTATATTCTTCCATCAGACAAACAAACATTGTCGTTTCTGCAATCTTAAAAAAAAATTGATATCACTGCTCTCCCTTACTTCTTCCCTGTCGTTCTATGTCCCATTTACATTAGAGTCCCTTGAAGAATTGTCCATACTTACTCCAATTCCTTTTTCTTCGTACCTGTTCAACTCACTCAAATTATGCTTCAATGCTAAGCAAATACAACACTGAAATTTCAAGTCACCAATTAACTACTCAAAAGACTAACACCAACACCGTGTCAGTCCCTACTTTATCTGAACTATTAGCAGCTCTGATCCTTCATCTTAGTCTCTGCTTTTCTCTCATCTACTCTGACCTCTAAGCATTGAAATGATCTAGAGATCAATCCTTGAATTTACTATTTCCAAACTCATTTTATTGGTGATGTCATTGATTTTTATGATCAATGTGCTAATTACTTTCAAATTTATCTTTCTACTTTGAACTTCTTCCTGAATTCCACATTAATATACCTAATGACCACCATGGCATGCTCACTTAATGTCTAATAGCTGTTTAAGGTAAAATGTCCAGTATGGATTCATGATTTTCCCAACAAATATGCTCTTCCTGAAATCTTCCTCATCTTTTTTTAGAGTCATTTTTGAATAATATAGTTCTCTCAATACCCTATCAGCAAATCCCTTACAATATAACAGATTGTGAGGCTAAAAGTAGATTTTGAAAATTTTTAGTATCTAAGATTGTTAGGCATTGAAAAACATGAAGTATTTTACCACTTGCATATTTTTCAGATATTGATCAAAAATGAAAAATTCTATATCAATATAAACATTGATGCAGTGTATGTAATTATTTCTTTCTAGGGCTACTTGTGTCCAAATGAGTTTATTGCTACTCAAGGTCCATTGCCAGGAACAGTTGGAGATTTTTGGAGAATGGTGTGGGAAACAAGAGCAAAAACATTAGTAATGCTAACACAGTGTTTTGAAAAAGGGCGGGTAAGTTACATAAAAATCTTTTCACAAAATGTTATTTTACAGTTGTGTTAATATGTGTGAATGTTTCAGCTAGTACTGTAAGTCATCAATAATTTAGATGTCCGTAAAGGAGTTTTAACTTAGTAGCAGTAAATGTAATATATATAATATATATATATATATATATATATATAATATATATTATATATATATAATATATATATATATAACAATGTTATATTTAGATATATAACAAATATATAACAATGTATATAACAAATATATAACAATGTTTATAACATATATATACATATATATAAATAACAATGACACATATATAGCATATATATATATATATATATACCATTATAGCACATATATGTATATACAACAGTAACATTTATGATTGTTGATTTTCTCTGATGCAGATAAGATGCCATCAGTATTGGCCAGAGGACAATAAACCTGTTACTGTTTTTGGAGATATAGTTATTACAAAGCTTATGGAGGATGTTCAGATAAATTGGACCATCAGGGATCTGAAAATTGAAAGGGTAAAAAAAGCGGGGGAGGGGACATGTATACAATATGAATGATCTAAATGTCTCAAGTAAAATTAATTTCTAAAACTATCACTTAGAAGAATACCTCTATATTTAACAAGGCTCTCCCACTGTTTTCTAAATAGAAGTTTTAAATTACTATCTTCCTGTAGTATCTATATCACTGTGTTTCATTGCCAATCACATGATTAAAGTGTATATTAAGTAATTAACATCAAATTCTTAGGTTGACAAAAACAGAAAAAGGAAGAAAAACAACTAAGTCACTAGGTTTGTTTAATTCGATTAAGAAATAATCTTATATGGGCTAAGATGGCAAGTCCCCACATTACTCATTGCTTTCTAAATTCTAATGGCTTAATTTTCTATTTAATCTAGAACCAGTACAGAAGAGTTAGTGCAAGGTCCCACTCTGTTGGTTTATATGCCTAGACACACAGAAAATAATATAAGGATCTGTATATTTCCTGACATTAGATACACAATACCTGTGTTTTGTATAATTAATGAATGTATTCAAGTGTGGGGGTCAAAATTGTTTCAAAATCTGATATTCTAACTATATTTGAATTTTAATACTCTATAGGAGGACTTGAATCCAAAATTTTTTATTGTTACCATTTCTACCAACAAGAAATTCTCTTTATTGCAATAAAAAATAAGAAATAATGAAAACAGAACCTGTTCTGTTTGGTGAATAGTCATTTTTATAAGCTTATCTCCAAAAGCTTAGGCATAGATTGTCTTCAGCCTTCATGTAGTACTTAAATAATTTTATTATTCATAAATCTGTTGCTTTGTGTAGCATGGAGATTACATGACAGTTCGACAGTGTAATTTTACTGGTTGGCCTGAACATGGAGTTCCTGAAAACAGCACCCCTCTAATTCACTTTGTAAAGTTGGTTCGAGCAAGCAGAGCACATGACACCACACCTATGATTGTTCACTGCAGGTAAGAAAGATTCAGAGAAACCTTCTCTTAAATTCTGGGAATGGACTTGAAAGCCAAAGTGGACTTTTTATTTTCATGATATCAAGTTGTATAACATCTCATCTTTCATTATTTCAGTTGCCCCTATTCTACTATCAAAATTTACTTGTAGAAAATTTTTTCTAAATTTTTGAATTACAGGGAATGAATTAGGAAAAATAAACTTACAAAAAATAAAATCAAGTATGGTTCCAGATTTTTACAAAACTTTACTCAAATCTTTTTCTTTTTTAATGAGGACTTTAAACATGGTTAATAAAGTATGACTGTAAATTGACTTTTTCCTCAGGAATTCTATTGGGAATGCAATTTTATTCTTACAAATTAAATTCCAGACTGTTTAGCATTCAAAACTTTTCTAGACACACGGTTATAATTTAAGTTTTCTAATGTAATATACCTAAGTGAATCTCAGTTTGAGCTTTTTTAATTTTTTTCGACAAGATTCCAACTTTCTTTTTTTAAAACTTTTTAATGTATTTATTCTAATCAGTTATACATGACAGCAGAATGGTCTTTGATTCATTGAACACAAATAGAGCACAATTTTTCACTTATCTTGTTGTATACAAAGTAAGTTTACAGCATTCGTACAATTATATATGTACCTAGGGTAATGATGTCTACCTAATTCCACTGTCTTTCCTATCCCTAAGCCTCCTCCCCTACTCTCCTTCCCCTTTGCTCAATGCAAAATCCCTGCACTCATCCCATTATAGATTAGCATCCACTTCTCAGAACATTCGGCCTTGGGTTTGGGGGATTGGCTTACTTCCCTTAGCATGATATTCTTCAACTTCATCCATTTACCTGCAAATGCCATAATTCAGTTTGAGTCTTTTTCACAATTGGAGTTTGGAGATTAGAAGAAAAATGGGTGATAATATAATGTATTATGATTCCATTTACCAAAGATACATAAAACAGATACATTTACAGAAATAGAAAGTAATGTAATTACTTGGAAAGGGATAGAGAGGCTTATTTTTACAGTCTGGGATGATGTAAAAGTCCTGGAAATGGACAGTGGAGATGGTTGCACAACACTGAGAATGTACTTAGTATCACAGAATTGTAGATTTAAAATTTGTTAAAATTGTAAAGTTTTTGTTGTCTATATTTTAAACAATAAAATGTGTTTTTATTAATATATTTTAATCATAGCCTTTTAACAATACATTGAAATTAATTTGGTTGAATATATAAGAAAAGGTAAATCCATCAAATTTTCAAATCTTTTTCAAGGAAAAACTCAATATGTAACTTAAATTATTATGCAACTCTTATGATATTTTGATTTTTTTTAATTATAAGAGTAAAACATAAATTTGCATTTTATGAAATGTGAACAATGTCTATATTTACAAAGCATATAATTCAAAAAGTAAAAGCTACATGCTTGCCCTCCCAATTTAATTATTCTCCATATACATAATATTTTTTAATAGAATAATATGTAGCATACATATTATAACATTTTGTATTTAGGGCCAGGGGTTGGTTTTTTGTTGTTATCGATAATTAAACCTTTAATGAACAATAAATTAAGTTTAAAAAGCTGCCTTTATAGCTTCTTCAAATCTTGTGTACACACTGCCATGGCATTAAAAGTCAGTGAAAAAGAAAAGTATCTTTTCTAGTTTAAGCATCAGAAAGAATAGCATCTCCTCTTTTGAGATTTAAATAACTAAAATTTAAGAAAAAAAAATCTGCCCAGATTAATGATTGTCTTTAAATATCATTTTTAAATTGTCTACTAAACATTTCCCATTTCTCATCACAACTTTAAACTTCCCCTACAGCTTTTAATTCAACATGATAACCCAAATGACTAAAAATTTCTAAAAGTTTGATATGTCCCAAACAGGACATTTGATTCCATCTCCAAACTCCTCCTCATTGTCCTAGTGTTGGTAAACATCAGGTCCCTCCAGCTTTGGTCAAGTAAGCCTTGAAGTCATCCTTAATCCTCCTCTTGCTCATCCATATCCTACATTGCACATTCCTCCAGCCCACCAAGTCCTTCCATCCCTGGGCACCTCTCACCTTCCCATTGTAAACTCACCTGCCTATTCTTCTTGTTTCTTGAACACACAGACCATATTCTCACTCAGATCTCTTCTCATTATGCAACCTTAGGATCTAGTGGTCCTATCCACCACACTTCCTTGGTCTGCTCCCCAACCTTATGCAAATTTCTTTTCAGATATTACATTATCAGAATAGCTTTGTCTGATTACCCTATTCAGCCCTATCACTCTCTATCTCCTTAGCCTGATTTATCTTTCTTTATAGCACTTGTTACCACCAACCATCTTCTTTGCCTGTGTTCATTTGTGTACCACTGTCCTCCAGTGTATAAGTTCCACACACATGGGCACTTTGTATTGCTTACTGCCATAACTCAGATGGCTAGAAAGGTGTATTAAGTGATTTAATGTCTGATTACCTTGTTCAGGCATGTGTGTGTTCATGCTACCGTCATTGGAAATGTTAAGTTGAATAATAGGAAATTACTGATATTTGGCTCTTACATTACTCAATTGACAGTTTCTATGGAACACCTGTCCTTGAGTATTAAATTAATTTCTTAAAAGAAAATAACTTGCAAATTTTATTAACTATAGGAGGTTAAAAAAAAGTTCTCTGGAGAAAGCAAAATGATGTGAGAGGGCTAGGGTTTTGGCTCAGTGGTAGAGTGCTTACCTAGCATGTGTGAGGCACTGGGTTTGATTCTCAGTTCCACAATATAAATAAGTAAATAAAATAAAGGTCCATCAACAACTTATAAAATATTTTTTTAAAGATGTGAGAGATTATTTTTAATATGATACATAGGAAATGCAGTATGGACCAAATATTTTATATTTTCAATATTTAGAATTTCTATGGATAACTAAAAATATGGCCAATATGAAGTTTCTGGTATTAAGAATTTTGAATGAGGCTGGAGATGTAGCTTAGTGGTAGAGCACTTACCTAGCATGTGTACGGCCTGGGTTCAGTTCCCAGCACTGCAAAAATAAAAAATTTTAAGAGATTTTAAAAATTCCTTAAATATAAAAAAAGTTGAGTATCCTTCATATTTATTCAATATTATTATGAAAGAAGATAAAAATTCAAGTAGTTAAAAAAGAAAATATAAATATTTGATAAAGTATTGATAATCATCTTGGTATAACTAAACACAATCTTGGTAACAATCAAAACTCAAAGAAAGTCCAAAGAAAATCTGTCTCCAAATAAGCAAAGAAACTGTTTAGAATCTATTGCTATAGCTCATTATCTTCGTCACCATCAATAGATGACTAATTTCCATGTAATGTTGTTCTTCCTGCAGTGCTGGGGTTGGTAGAACTGGAGTTTTTATTGCTCTGGACCACTTGACACAACATATAAATGACCATGACTTTGTGGATATATATGGACTAGTAGCTGAATTGAGAAGTGAAAGAATGTGTATGGTGCAGAATCTGGTAAGAGAACTAAGCCTGCACTCATTTCTTGGTGTCAGCTCTAGGATTTCTATGTGGGTGGAACTTAGTGCATCAATCTGCTTGGAAGTGAACTTGAAGCTGTTATATGCACAGTAGGAACTCTTTTCCTACCTTATAAACTTGTTGGGTAGAGCAGCTGGTAGAGATGATGAGAGAACTAAAGTCACCCTTAAGTATAATTTCTGACTGTTCATCCTTGTTTATACTGACAGGCATGTAGAAAATAATTAATTAAATTGATTTGTATTTATCATTTAGCAACTTTGGGGAGCTTAGAAAGTGAATTCAAATGAATTCCTCTTATAAATATGCTAAATATATTTATAATTGGGAAAACAGTGTAAAATATTGATGTTACTGAGTTTCTATGAATTTCATGTGTCCATATTTATCTCTGTTACTTATTAGTACTAACCATGATTGTTGCAGCAAATAATCAACTAACTGGGAATATTTTGTTCATTGTTTTACTATGACGGCAAAGATATTTATAAAATAAATAGATTTTTATTCACTAAGGAAACATACAGCTGGGTGCAGTGACACATGTCTGCAATCTCAGTGGTCTCTGGAGGCTGAGACAGGAGGATCATGAGTTCAAAGCCAACCTCAGCAACAGCGAGATACTAAGTAACTCAGTGAGACTGTCTGTAAATAAAAGCAAAAACAGGGCTGGAGATGTGGCTCAGCGGTTGAGTGCCCCGGAGTTCAATCCCTGGTACAAAAATTTAAAAAACACAGTATAATGGTAGTGAGACTAACAACCCTCTATTGAGTGTCAAGGAGTTTCCAGTTGCTATATTAGATCCTTTACATTTATTTTCTTATTAAATCCTGATTTAATTCTTTATTTGTGAATCAGGGTCAGTAAACTGATTAATAGACTAGGTATTATTGACTTTATGTTACAAAATAGGGAAGCAGATGTTCCAAGAACGTGAGTGATATTCCAATGCAATATTATTAGTAAGTATCAGAGCCAAAATTCATTCCAGTCTATCTAACTTAATAGGAGACGTTTCTATCTGTATCTTCTGATCAAAGTTTGTATACTATGCAGATACAGAGATGTTCTTGTAGTAAATACACAGATCTGCTCTCAGAGTATTTTCCAAAATATGTGCTAAAAACTAAGTGGCATTAAATTTACTAAAGGGGTGAGGAAACAGACTTCCCTGATAAAATAAGTGTGAGAAATAAATTAAACTAATTTTTAAGTACAGAATTTCTTAGACCTTTTAGGCTAATACACCATGAAAATAACAAATACAGAGCCAACTGTGGTACCCTTCAACCCTTTTAGATCCTAACTTATAATGCATGGGACATTAATGCTGTAAGAAAATGCTGCCCTAGGTCAGAGACATCCAACTTTTCAGAAAAAAAAAATGTTTGAGTATTCAATTTTAGTACAGATACTTATTTTTTAAATGTATATTGTATAATTATGTAAATTATGAAATATATGCAAAATAAACAATTGATGAACATATCAAAGATCAAATATGCAATATTTGGAAAACATTGCTAATTGCTATGGCTTCATATTATCATTAGGAATTTTCAAAAAGGAAATACACCCAGGTCAAGATATTTCTGATAATAGTCATAAATATGTATCTTTAATTATTTATAGTTTTTAAAAAGAGATCTGGACTTTTGTCAGATCTGATTACATTGTTATTTTTACCTCGTCGTTTGGCTACAAAAACTATTCTAGAAGTATGAAGGAATGTCAGACCTTCCAATTTTTGTCATTTATTTTGTCTTGCATGTTACATATTTGATTTCAACATAAGTCTCTGTGTAAGAATCTTTCACAGCCATTTTAATTCTGTGATAGGTAAAACTAGGTAATGTAGTCCATGTTCATTCCTTTATATGCTAAAAAGAACAAATGAGTGAAGGATCACTCTTCCCTAGTTTGTTTCAGAAATAGAATATGACATGTGACCAGGACTGGCTTCATGAATATGCAACCTGTGTAGTTTGACAGATGCCCACTCCGTAAAGGGCCCTACATTTGGTTTAATGTGTGTTTATTAGTCTTAATTTTTGAGGAAAGAACTTTGCATTTTTATTCATAGTTGGCCCTGAAAGTTAGATACTTGTCCAGAGGTTTTACAAGGGCTCCATATCAATCCAACTATTAACCATTATTGAAATTCAATTTGCTTCTTAGTTTGAGTTAAAAATAAGGACAAAAAGAAAGCTAACATTTTCCTTTCATATTCCTGGGGTTATATTTAGGGTATCAGTGCTCTCAACAAAATTAATGGTTGGCTGTCTTGGCTAGTCAATCTTCAAATAATAAAAGTTAAAACAAATTTTCCATAATCTGCAGCTTCATGGAACTGAAATTTGTACAGAGTGTGTTTAAGAATACCTATTGATAATTGAATACAATTTGGTACTCAATATATATTGTACACTTTATGCTTGTTTAACCACCATAGCATTGTTTCAAGTTGGGTAAAGGAATGAAAAGATCAAGATTATCAGTCAAAGAACTGAGTTCAGAATCTAGCTCCATTGATTGTTGGCTCTCAGACTTTGTTTAATTAACCTCTCTGAGCTATTTCTCTTTCATGATTTGTTAATGCTTTCATAAGTTTGTTGTTTGTATTAAATAAAGTATATACAGCACCAAACATAATACCCAGCATGCAGTGCATATCCAACAAGGTTTGCCTGATTCTCCTGTCTTTGCTGAAAAGCAAGTTCTCTGAAGTTCTCTTTCATCTGAGTTCCCAGAAGTTATGCTCTTTCTATCTTTTCCCTGTGAGGAAGAACAGGAAAATGACTGTGCTTCAGTCCTTATAAACTACCACAAGGTGGTTTCTTATTATCTTCTGTTGCACTGAGGATTGATCCAGTTTCTATGAAGAATGCTCACATCTCAGCACTTTAATACAGCAACCAGGGTCAGAGCTGGGGAGGCCGGAACCTCAGCAATAGACTGCCTCTAAGACACCAGAGGGGCATGGCCCATATTCAGGAGAGAGCTTTGATATCTTTTTCACTCAAAAGTCAGTTCAGGATATTTGAAAGACTTTTCTAAGAGAATGCTTTGCAGTGAAAAAATATCCTGAAATAATATTGGTGCCTTGAATAAGGTTAATGTGGCTTAGTCCCTTTCTAGCTCTAGATTCTCCTGAAAATTTAATGTTATAAACTCATAGGCTAAAAAAAAATGGTAACTATCATGCATAATTTTTTGGCATGCATTTTACACATTTTAAGTCCTTTAAAAGTCACAGGATAGGTTTTGTGCGTCTCCAGATAAGGAAATTGAGCATCAAACTTCTCTTAACATGACTATCAAGGGTAGCAACTGGATTGAACTTTTCAATGACACTCTGCAGCCTCCTTGGCAATAACACAGGATGGCAGAGGGACCTTGGAACCTGCAGGGCTGTCTTGTAAGAGCTTGGCTTGCTATGCTGGCAGTTTAACCCATCATTCTCTCCAATGGAGGAGATGAGACCCGGACAGTCGGAAGTTTCATGTGTCAAATGTGACTTCAAACTCAAATGTGTTTTTTAGAAATACCAGAATTGTTCAATTTAAATTATTTTCAAAGAAATCATATTTCATCAACATATATCTCAATGCTATTATATTTACTGTGTGATGTGTATTTGAAAAACTTTCTTAGAATTACTTTACCAGCAATTTCAGTAGAATTATTATTGCTTTATAATACTTCATTTCTTACCAAAAATTGAATTCTGTAACTTGATCATTCACTTCACTTGCAAAGTTTGACCCCTAATGACTTTTGGATGTTCTCCAAATCACATCTGCCCATAAATGGTGAAGATTGGCTAGCTTTGAGAATTAAATAAGCCTAAATCAACAAGCATTTATTACACAACTATTATATGCTAGACACTATTACAGGCATTGGGAACATAGCAGCAACTAAGAGTTCTGCTCTCATAGAACTGACTTCCTAGTGATGAAGTGTTAGTGGGAATGTTTTGTAATCCACAAACAATGAGATAAAGCTAATCGTGACCAGTAATATTCAAAGACAGTTTCAATAAAGGAGTTCCACCCCTCCAAAAAAAAAGGTTTGGGGGTATTGTAGCCATAGATAGGAATATAACCTCTTAAAATGATCACTTTTGAGGATGTTCTATTTACATCAATTGTCAGTTTGTAAATATGTCTTAAAACATTTGGTGATATTCCTTACAGTTGGGTATGCTTCTTATGTACAAATCAGGATGATTTAAAACATACAACTTTGGCTTTTTAACCTTAAATAATTTGGGGGAAGTAAAAATTCAGAAATGCTAATAAATTACTGAATTATACTGAATAAATCCAATGAATCTGGATGGTACTGAATTTACCCCATACATTCAGATGAAATGTTAGAAGTCCATGTCCTGCACCTAGGTGTTCAGGTATTTCTATGGCAAACCAGTTGGTATTTAAGGGAATAGATAATTAATATTAAGAGAGTCAAAATCCAGATGATTAGCAGAATTATTAGATATATTTTAAATGAGCTGATGGTGTATAAATATGCTCAATCACAACTGCAGGATTAAATATAGCTCTGCATTCTGACAAGAAAAGTATTTATAAATTACTCAATTACATCTAACAGGAAAAAGGAGGCTCATAAACAAATTTAAGTAATCAGAAAGACTTGCTGCTTTTATAATCACAGCAAGAAAGAATATATTAACACTTTGTATTTAGTGATGAGTATTAAAAAAAACTCAAAGCTACAAGAAGCCACAGGGATTTAGAAAATATTATTTTGGAAATTGAAGAAAATTGTTTATTTACTGAAATAAAATCTGTCTCTAACTTATCCATTTCACATTTGTTGAACTCAATACTGATTTTTGCTGAAACAGTATAATTTCTCTTATAAGAAATAGTCCCACCCCGTCCTTCATTTAATCATTCTTTCTTTTGTTTCTAGGCACAGTATATCTTCTTACACCAGTGCATTCTGGATCTTTTATCAAATAAAGGAAGCAATCAACCTATCTGTTTTGTTAACTATTCTGCACTTCAGAAAATGGATTCTTTGGATGCCATGGAAGGTAAACAGAGTCAGGGTGTACCAAATTTGCTAGTTTACTGCCTATAAGAGGAGCACTGATATTATAATAACCATAAGTTAAAAATACTTCAAAACTAGGTTAGTGCACATCAGTTTCTTCATTTCTCTCTCATTCAATGTGAGATAAATGCCTTTTCATCTGGATCGTCTTTTTGCCATGAAACATTTTAATCTTTTGAACTGTTAACTTCAGTACTCTCTTGTGACATGCTACTTTATGTTATAGGTGATGTTGAGCTTGAATGGGAAGAAACCACCATGTAAATATTCAGATCAACAATTACAACAAGAAGATATTTTTCAATCCCAGGGGCCAAAACTACCCCCTCGTGCTTCTGAATTGAAATATGCAATCCTAAAGAAATCTTTATGCTTCCCTTACTGCCTTACTCCCTGAATTGACCATTTTACAGACAGTTCTAGGAAACTGCTAAATCAGCATAGTCACTTGTTTTGTACAGAATAAATATTGTTCATTTAAAATGTTTAAGAGAAGATATCCCATAGGGTTTTGAAGTTCTCCATATTTGGAACAAACCAAATGTTAAATTATTATTATACTAGCATTAATGGTTCGTGTGAATCTTCCCTGTGTATCGGTTATAATTTTGAACAAAAGCCGTAAATGTTGATTCAGTAGTGTTATTTTGGCCTCTAGGGTGTTGTCGTTTCTTGTGGATGACTTCCAGAACTGTCATAATGATCTGTACTTCTATGTATGCCTCTGTGTTTTGAATCCTCTGTTTTATGAGTGCTGAGATATCATCTCCTGATCCTGAACAGCTGAACACTAACCCCCTGACACTGCAGGGATTACATAGCCTTTATACAACACACAGTAGCTCTTTGGAGGAACTTAGGGCTATTTAAATTGCATTGTGAACTTCAGTTTGAAAAAATGAAAGGAAAAAAAAAGTGCAATTGCACATAACGAAGTTATAAAGTACCTTTCTAGCCTGCCCACATTTGTCTGATGTCAGGCACAAGTTGTAGCACTGTATTGTATATTTAAATACAAAAAGGTATCAGAGTATTTGCACATTATATTTATATTCAACTTATTAACAATTTTAAAATGTTTCTTCAGCAGAAATGTATAAAAATAATAATAAAATCATGTAGTGTGGTACAAGCTTGTGAACTTATGATGTACTGCTGCGGTGCCAACAGACTTCTGAAGAGATTATTTTAACTGGTCTTTATTTTATTTCCCAAGGGTGATTATGGAAGAGTGTGTTTAGGGGAACTGAAAACAAAGAAATTAACCAGGTTGGAGCAAAGTAGAGATTTTTAAAAAAAATTTCAGCCTCTGTTTTATTAGATACTGATATTGTACTAAATAAATTGAGCTATGTGAAATTATTTTGTCATAGATTTCAATTAATGTCATAAGTAAATAGTATTAACTACTTTATTTCTTCTATAATAAATATGCTTATTTCTACTGTTCCAATCATATAGAAAGTGTAATGGTCAAAAAACCCTGAATTTTAATTAATTATTTTTCAGAATTATTTTAGAGGTCCTTAATTAAATATAAATTTGATTTCATATTACAAATCAAGATATAATTGATAATTATTTTAATTATATCATATATAACATAATGTAAAATAATGCTTTACATATAAGTAAGCATGACATGATTTATATAATGTAAATAATTAATATATAGTCATTTCCCAAGGTAAACAAAGAGTAAATTGTTTTAGTATGAAATTCACTATCCAAGAAATTAAGCCCTTTATTCAAATAAGCAATCTCTAGAACAGTAAAATTTTCATCTGATTTTTTTTCATGGCAAGGAAATGTAAATAAATACAATCCACTACTGTTCCAACAAACAAGTTTACATGAAGTTACAGAAAACAATAAAAATGATGAGAAATCTAAAAGATACATTTTGGAGTTATAAAGTTTCCAGTGTCCTTCATGTCATTGAAAATGTATAGCAAACCAATATAGGTTTTGGATTCATGAAAGACAGAAAACAAAACCTGTGGAAAATATTGATTGGAATAACTTTTTAGTATATTAAATAATAAAAAAAAAACTGTTAAAATGTGGTCCAGTCCATTTTCTATACCTATATAAACAGAGTTTCAGGTTTGATTCATATATATGCACATGAGTACATAAAACAAGAGTGCTAGCATTAGTTCTCTGAAACAACACTTTTCAAACATCAACTAACTTTCATACAAATCACCTGAGGATTGTGTTAAAATTAATTCTACTTGAGTAAGAATAGATTAGTCCTGAGAATAATTTCTAGCATGTAACCAAGTTAATAATATTGCTGCCTTATCCCCGGCCATATGTTAAAAAAAAAAATGTATGACTCTTCAAAAGATATTAGTCAGGATTGGAATGATTTTAGATCAACCTGAAATTACTTGAAACATTCTTTAAAAGACTTGACTTCATTACCAGAAAAAAAAAAAACTTGTTAAATGCACATGACTCACTATATCAAGAAAACATAACTAAAATGATTGAATTAAAAATCATGTATTTATGATAGCTGAATTTTTTAAATTACATTGTGAAAGAGTCAGTGTATACCCACATTTTATTGATGGCTACTAAGTGCAAATTAAAATAACAAGGAACATCTGTAACATTTTTAGATCTAATTTGTCAAAATTCGTTGAAGCACATGTACAATAAATGAGCAACATGTGTGTCATATGAACCAAATGAAACAGGACCCTTCAGAATGGTTTGCCAGATAGGAGAGCAGCTGTGGGTATTACCTCTACCTTTATCCTGCATTCAAATGCATAATTTTCTTCTTTTGTTTTATAGGTGATATGAAAAAGAAGTCTTTTGCAAAACAATCCTAATTAAACTTTGACCTTTTCAGAAAAACAACAGTAATTTGCTGTCCACATGTTTGTACCAAACCACTAGATTTTAAAACTGGAATCTAAGTTCAGCAATGTATTCTATAAGTCCATGCCATTATTGTGATAACCAAGTCATTTTCATGGACCAACTGTTAAAAAAATCAGTGAATTTTTTGATAAGGCTTGGTAAACAAAATGATCAGAAATTCTCAATGATATTAAAAAGTGAAAATGAGGGAGAAAAATTTATAAAGCATTATCTTAGCAAAACAACTTGCCTCCTTAAGACAAGTGATATTTCATGGCAATTTATTTTACAAATATGGATAGAGTTTCCATATGGAATCAGGCCTAGTATGTCCACCTGCTCAGGTAGATGTTTTAAGGAATAGATTAAATCACACATAAGAAAATGTTTTGAAAAGTCCAGTAACTTTACAAAGTTAATACAGCCTTTACCAAGAGTAGTCAATGTGCAATATATATCAGTAAAATAATGCATCCCAGTTTAGTATTATATTGTGCTTTGTGATATTAGTGTCATATTTGCATCTCTGTTCACATGGGAAGACTGAAGAGAAAATTATGGTAGATATATTGATTTCTACAATATATGACCATCGATATTTTTATAAATGAACAATTAAGCCCTCTTAAGTAATGCTTTCATTGAAATGAATACATATATACATGTATACAAATAATTTAAAATATGAGTCAGTAATCAAGTCAAGAAAATTTTCATTTCAGAATATTTCAGTTGGACATTCTGAATCATTACCTTCAATATCATCCTTTGGAAATAAAATTAGTTTAATAGAAGGTTAAAAAAAAAATTAGACTTCTCTTACTCCTCTGTTAGCAAAATTATATTTCTAAAGTCACACATTTAAATTATTTTACTATTCATAAAAATTATTATTGGACTTGGAAGTCATTTTAATAAATTATAAATTTTTAGAATATTTTTATATTCATTATTCCAGTTAGTCCTTACAACTTATTAAGATCTCCAGGATCCTATAACATTGGTAAAGATAATGAAAGCTTAATTGCTGTATTCAAAATCAAATTTAGTTAAGATGAGAATTAAAGTTGAAGCTGAGTTTCTCTGGTTTCCCCCCATCCAAAAAGAAATTCTTTCAATAACCCTATGCAGGTACCTCCATAAGTTACAAATGACAGGCTTTGAAAAATGTGAAATGATTATTATAAATCAAGGTCATAATCACTCTGTGTCCCAATTCCCAACTAGCCAGTTAGAGACTTTCTGCTAATCACATGAAAATAATGATGTATGTAAAACATGATTTTGGAGAAAATATGGAAGTAAAGGATAAAAATCACCATTTATATAGATGGAAAAAACATGTCACATTTTAGGGGGCAAGACAATATTATAAAGATATCAGTTATTCCCAAACTAATTTGTAAATTTATTAAAATTAATTTCTAAATTTTAAACTCCAAACTATTCTTTTTTGAATGAAATATGCATAGAGAACACCTGAGGCTCTATAGAAGCCAACAGCTCTTAGTAAACCAGACTCCCTTCACAAAACTGTAAAATAAGATTTGAAATGTCAAATTAAATTAAGCTGCATTAGAGTGAAAAGCCCTCAATCTTTTTAAAATGAAGCCCAGATAATATGTTTAACAATTGCACATTTATAATACCTAACATCTAACTACAAATTGCTGGACACATAAAAAAGCAGTAAAATCTGAACCATAACCAGGAAAATGATCCATTAATAGAAACAGATGCATAAATAACAGAAATTATAGAATTAGCAGACAAAAGCTTTTAATATAGCTATTGAAATATGCTAATAAAGAAAAATAAGTATTACTGTAAATTACAAAAATGTGTTTAAAACTTTCAGGGCTGAAATCTATAACATCTGATGTCAGAACTTAATTATATATGATAAGAACAGATTAAACACTGCAGAAAATCAGTAAATGAAAAAGCAGGGCAACAGAAATCATCAAAACTGATGCATGGAAACACACACACAAAGACTGGAAAAATAAAGATCCTCAGGACCTGGGAGGATATTTCAAGCAGTTTATCACAACAGTAATAAGAGTTACAGAATGGGAGGAGACAGAAAAAAATTCTTCAATAAACAATGTCCAAATATTTTCCAAATTATTTGTCCATTTACATATTCAAGAATCTCAATGAAATGTGAAGAGATAAATGTTCACATGTATGCATACACATTTGATTTCTCCCACTTCAGTCCATACACAAAACCACTTCTTCATAGACACACATGCATACAGCTTATACCAAAGTTTATCATAATCAAATTATTTATTACAAGTCAAAACTAAAGACATAAATTTCAAAGGCAATACAGAAAGGATAAACCTGTTCTTGATATCAAAGAAAATAAAATAAACTGACTTCAGTATGCAGAAATGTTACAGGCTATGGTATGAAAATTATAGTTACAAAAAAACTAGAAGCAGTACCATAGTCAGTGGTGAAATATTGAAGTGTTTTACCCTATTAGAAAGAAAAGGGGAGAAAAAAAACTGCTCTCACAGTTTCTGTTGAGCATTCTACTTGTTCCTAGCTGTAAAGAAAAAGAAATAAATGGGATAAATTTGAAAGGAAGAAATAAATCTATACAAGTATGAGGCATAATCATGTATGAAGAGAATCCTGAGAAATCTACAAAAACATAGCTGCTAGGTATAAGAAGTAGCTTTAATAAGGTCTTGGCATACTAGGTCAAGATACAAAAAAATCAGTTTTATTTCTATTTACTAGTAATGAACAACTGGAAATTGTAATTTAAAATACCATTAACAATAGCATCTACAAATGTGAAAAGCTTTAGGAAAATTTTAACAAAACATGTGCAAGGCCTACAACTAAAACAACTAAACTAGGGATGTAGTTCAGTTTGGTGGCCAAGTACCCCTGGGTTCAATACTCAGTACCAAAAAACAAAACAAAACAAAACATTATTATAGTTATATCAGAGGAATAAATTCAGGAGCTCTGTTGATCGGCATGGTGACTAATTAATAACAATATATTGGATTCTTGAAAAATACAGAGTGGATGATTAGTATTCTCATCACAAAAGTGATAACTATGTGAGGAAATGCATTTTTTAATTAGCTAGAATTAAGCATTCACAATGTATATGTACATTAACACACATATATGATAACCACATACAATTTTACCTGTCAATTTAAAGTATAATAAAAATATTATTTACAATTTTAAAATCATGTGTGTTTAACTTGAATTATTTACTTAAATATATGATACAAAACATTTCATTTATGGATTATTTTCAAAATTATCAATATCAAGCTTTCCTGCCTGAATGAATACAATATGGAAAGAAATATGTGCTTGCATTTATTAATACTCCATTCCCAAAGCAATTACCACTAACAATTGGTGGTTTAAATATTAAAAATAAAACTTGACATGCTCCTAGTGCTTTCTAGAGAATTCATTAAGCTGCTATGCACTTGGTATTTATAACCTTGTGAACTTCCATGGAAGACATGGCAAATTCACTTGCTGGTCTCTCCCTGGAACACAAGGTTGCTTCAGTCAGTCTGAGTTTAGTACATTCATAAGTTTGGTGGGCAGTAACAGGATTAGCACCTA